CACACACACACAAACACACACACACACACACACACACACACACACACACACACACACACACACACACACACCTCTTGTGGAAGGCAGCCAGCAGTCTGGGGTCCAGGATGTTCTCCTCTGGCTCCCAGCTGTTGTGCCTGAAACCAATAATAAGACATCAATTACAAGTAAAGAAAAGAGCTGCTAACTCTTATCACGTGTCCGGTCCTTTACTCATTGGACTGAATGTATCTGCGTGTTATTACTCTGTGTGCGTTGGTGATAGGGTTAGGTACACTTCACCTTGTGACCACCACGCTGCTCTACCAGCTGCAGAACACTGTAAACATGTCAGTATGCATGAACACTAACATGTGTTCCCAGCTCTAATGGGCGTGACCCAGCAGAGCCTGCAGACGTGTGTACAGGTGTAACAGCCGCAGGAAGCATACACATACCACACAATGTGCAGTTTGTAAATACGTCCACATGTATGCATGTGACCTGGTGCGACCTGCAGCAGTTAGTCGTGGTATATCTGTTATAACAGCTGCAGGAATAAAGCACATATCTGACGACGTGCATGAAAACAAACACAGTATTTCCAGTTCTCATGGATGGGAGCTAGCACTGATACATCAGGTGTAACAGCTGCAGGAATAATGTTCATATCTCACAATATGCCGTTTAAAATGTGTTTAAATGCATGCATGTGACCTTCAGTAGTGACACTGGTACATTGGGTATAACAGCTGCAGGAATAATGTTCATATTTCACGATGTGCATGAAAGTAAACACAGTATTCATGGCTACAGTTGAGTTCTGGTGTAACAGCTGCAGGAGGTATGTGAACATGTCAATAAGCATGAAAGGAAACCCTCATGTCCCAGCTCTCAGATGCATGTGAGCCAGTAGATTCTGCAGAAGCTACTACAGGTGTAACAGATGCAGGAATAATGGAAACATGTCAATATGAATGAAAACAAACATCGCATTCCCAGCTCTAATGGATGCATGTGACCCAGCAGAGCCTGCAGAAGATAGTGCATGTGTGTCGGGTATAATAGCTGCACATATTCGACGATGTGCATGAAAACAAACACAGTATTCCCAGTTTTAACCCAGTTTCAATGCGTGCATGTGACTGGTGCAGCAGCTGTGAGGGGTATCGGGTTTCCTGCTGTACATATGTATTGTTTATATTAGTTATAAACCTTCTAAAAAATGCGTTTCTTCCTTTAAATTCCCTTTAAAATGCCTTGAGTCCCCAGTTCGTGTTGAATAAAGTCCCCGAAACCCCGCTCATTGTTTGGGGCCATTTCTCCATGTTATTTGCTGTTAGCATGTCGGTGGCTAACAGCTAGCTACTCACTTTGAGGACCATCCTCTCCATTTCACCAGGTATTCAAACTTCCCCTGCGGACACAAACACACACATGTTAGGGGGCATGTTAGGGGAGAGGAGCGAGGCCTCCCGGAGCCCTTCTGCCCGCTGAAAGCTTACCTTTCTCGGCCGTTTGCTGAGGATGCATTCCGCATCAAAGACCTGGCCCACTGTGACCCCCTCCATTATCCACTGCGCGCTTTTTACCCTCCCCGGACACCGTAGCTCCGTTACTGTGTAATGTCGCATTTGTTATCTTTTTATTTCACCTTCACCGGACACCGTAGATCAGTTATAAACACATGTACTACTTTATTATTATGGTTTATTATATTTCTGTTACAATAACAACATTATTATCGTAGAAACTGATCATATGATATGGAGTAATTAATTAATAGGTATTTAATGTTATCATAGTTTACCTATTTAATGAATAATAAGGCGAACAAATATTATCATCATTGTTTTTTTTACACATTTAAAAGAAATAAAGCTAAGATAATCATCGTGTGAACTCTGTATTATTATTTTAATTATTATGCATTTTTTAATTGCATTACATTATATATTGTGTCTAACTATTTCCTATGTTATGTAATAAACATGTTGAATTGCACCTGTGATATTATCAATCCTTTACTTTGCTTTCTTTTAATGCTCTCATATTTTGCACTCGTGTTGTTATTACTTAACCCTTTCATGCATAGGTCACTACAGTAGACAGCAATTCAAAAGGTGTTTTCTTGCATTGTTTTTTGCCACTCAGTGGAAAGTCAGGGTAAGTGCATGATAAATGTCTCCAAACCAAGATGGACCACAGAAAGCCAGATGGACCAAGTCACCTGCCGATATCCTGCCAATCCTTTTATGGAAAGCGTCCCCTGCAGGTATAAAAAAGGTGGTGACATCAAGTAACAACTAAGGAATCATATAATTCATAAATGATCAAAGTATTGATTTTATGTTTGCAGGAAATCATGATTAACCACCTGTCCACTACAGTGGACGTCATGCATCACTGGCTATATTTCAACTACAATGAATACTGGTACTGCTGCTGCTGTTCCCAGGGCCGTCCCTCCCTACAGGCAGATCATGCAGACTGTGTGGGGCCTCACCTTGTGGAGGGGGCCACACCTTGCGGAGGGGGGCCTCATCTGAGGCGCACCTATGTGCTTATGTGGCGCAATTAGGGTGGCGCGGCACGGTTTCGCCGCTGCGAGGCTCCACTAGCACTCATCTAATAACTGTGCGTGGGGCCTCAAATTGGCCCCTGGCCCTGGTTATTCTTGAAAATACTTCATTTGCAATATCTTTTTGGGCCGTAAATCAATATACTTATGTTATTGTTATTATAATGTCATTTTAAGTTTGCACATCTTTATTTATCATTTTTTCAAAATGTACATCTCTTCAGTTCAAACCCTGAACGCATACTGTCCACCTGAGTGGACATATACAAATCTATTTGAAAAAACTAGATACAAAATAAATAAAGTTCAAATCTTGTTTTTCATGCCCCAAGAGCAATACAAACACTTGGTAAAAAAATCCTGACTGAGGTTTTCATAATTCATGCATGAAAGGGCATGGCTTAGTTGAATACTCGATTCTGATTGGTCCATTGGGACACCTGCCCTTTATATAGACCACCCTCAGAAGCCTCTTCTTAGGACCAGAGATGCGAGCTACACGACACCGAGTTGGACCTCTGACGTTACACCAAAGAAGCAGGAGAGTAAAATATCATAACATGGTTAAAACAGCAGACTTAAAATATATAAAACCCAACATTAATTACAGGTGAAAAGCAGTTCTGAAAAGGTGTGTTTTGATGTAAACATGATGTTTAATGTAGATTTGAAAGGATGACCTTTTCTATAGCTAACGAACCTCGTTTAAAAACTGCAGAATTTAAGATTATAGTGGGTTTTAACAAAATCCCTCACGTATTATAACTGACGACATGTTATTAATTGACACGGTTCCTTAGTGAATTCGGTATACATTTGATCATGACTAGATAACGATTAAAATGCCTGAAAATGAGTGTTTTGATTTGTGGTAATGTAATATGTGTCTTGCAGTAACACGCCCTGTCCAGCAGGTGGCAGCACGCGCCTTTAATCGTTGGTCTGCAGCCTGCCATAAAAGCAAATGAAGAAGAAGAAGGAGGAGGAGATGTGTGCGGAACCTTTGTGCTCTTATCTAAAGGGGGACTTGATTGAGTGTTGCACACATCTTATGGATGTTATGTATGTTCGCTGCTGTGTTTCCGATCAGCTGTTATAACCCAGGATTCATCTTTCTGAGGTAAAGGCTTGTTTTGTATTATCTGTAACTGAAGAAACGTGTGTTTATAATGTATTTCTGTTAGTATGATGAACCAGGATACCAAACCTGTGACTCCTGCAGGTCAGAGGGGTTCATGCACTCTTTGTATTTCCAATAAAAACATGTTTAATCACTATTTATTAAGTTTAACTTCATCTTTAATGTGGATTTGACTCGTTGTATAACAGTGGTTTAGGTTACTGTTAACAAAGCTGACGAGCCTCGTTTAAAAACTGGAGGATTTAAGATTATAATGGGTTTTAACAAAATCCCTAACATATAAGAATATAAGTGAGGACATTTTATTAATAAACATAATCTGCTGGTGAATTCGGCATACGTTTGATCCACTAACAAATAATTAAAATGCCTTTCTTTAAGTAGTTTCACCTAGGGACCGTCAATACATTATAGCTTGGATAACACAGATCCAATGTTATTTTTAAAGCTTCCTTGCTCTAAATATGCTTAAACAACTATATTAAATGTGTGTTATGAGGCATTATAACATTCAACAACCTGTTTAATCACTATCTGTTCATCTAGACATCATCTTTAATGTGGATTTGACTCGTTGTATAACAGTGTTTTACGTTACTGTTAAAACAAGTGAAAGAACCTCCTTTAAAAACTGGATAATTTAAGATTATAATGGGTTTTCACAAAATCACACACATATTACAATATAACTAAATACATGTTATTAATTAACACGGTTCTTTCTTGAATTCGGCATACACGTGATCCCTTTAAGGG